CCCCCGCCCAGCCTGCCCCCCAGTCCCTCTGTCGCGGGGTCCCCAGCGTCCAGCTTACCCAGGTGCTCTCAGGCTCCCTCATGGACCCCACCCCACCTTAAGCAAGTTTTCTAGACAGAATAGTGAATGAAATGGAATGAATGTTTTATGTCATAAAAGACAAGCATTTACTTTCTTTCGCTCATTACTGGGCGGGCACCCTGGTGTGCTCAGGCCCTCTGAATCATGGATGGACGTCTTTTTGCATTGGGGTGAGGAGTGCCTGACTCTAGTTTGGGGAGGAGGACAAATGAGTGGTCGGGGAGGAAGGGGGAAACACTAGCACTCTGTGGGGAAGCGGGGTGGGGGCCAGGGAGCAGTAGAAGGTGTGCCTCAGCTTGAAGTGCCCTTGCCCTGCCCTCTCCGCACACCCTGCCTGCATCGGCTGCAGCCCGCCAGGGTGATGCCCACAGCAGGACGGGCAGACCTCAGGCTCATAACAGGGGCTGCGGGGCATCAGTCAGAAGTGTGGCAGTCCCGGCTGCCCAAAGGTGATTTAAGGGGAACACAACTCAAGCACACTTGTGAGAGCCTGGCTCTCGCTCGCCACCAGGAGTAGTGATGCCCATGGGAGGTGAGGTCGGTGCAAACAGTCAACCTGGCAGCTGGCAGGACCCTATCAGGGTGGTCAAGGGGCTCCTACCAGGACCCCCCCCCCCACACACACACACCTGATGGAATTCCCTGCAGGGGAGGATAAACAGCAGCAGCAGGTAGTTCCAGATGCAGTTTCTTTATTATTGTGCCCCCTGGCCCCGAGGCTGGCTTACATGGAGACCAGCGGTGGAGGGGCTGTTTACAAGGAGAGCAGTTTCTCTGTATGTGATAGAGTCAGGCGACTTCTCTGTCTCTAGAGTATTGTGACAGCCCATATCCAGGACCTCCGGTTCCAGATCCCCAGGAGCCTGTCTGGCCTCAGGAGGAACGGGCTGCCTGGAAAGACTTGTGGCACTGGCAGAGGTGAGCGCCACCCAGTGGTGACACAAAATGTAGGGTTCTCCTTAGCCATCAAACCACCTCCCCTTCTCCAGTTCTGTCCCCAGCCCAAAGTGGCCAGTAAGGAGGGTGTTTTTTAAGGCTGATAGCTGGGTGGGTGGTGGCGAAAGTAACTTTTCATTCACACTCCCCACCTTGAACCCCTGAAGATGGACCGGGAGTGGCAGATCCCAAGACCAACAGTGGCCGTGGGGCGTGAGGATCTTGGAGGCACACCACCCTGCATGTCACCCCACCCCTCCTCAGGGCCAGGCCTGGGGCCATGCACAGGGCGGCAGCCTGATGAGACAGCTCACACTGTGCCCACCCAGAGCCCGGTATCGGCCACAGAGGGGAGGGAAGGCAGGCAGGAGGCAGTCAGCTCCACCAGCCGGGCACCTCCTCCCTGCCTGGGCGGCTCTGTGATGCATGAGGCCGCATGGGCGGGCGGGGGAGGTGTTTCCTGCCACCTGGCCAGGCCTCCATGCCCAGACCACTGTCTCCATGCCGCCGAGGGCAGTCACCCTCACTCTGGTGTCAGCATTGGCTCCGGAGGTGGTAGGCCAGGCGCCCCTGAACCATGGCCCCAGGCTCCTGTGAGACACTCTGCCTGGGGCGGGGGTCCCCTGTCAGCCCAAAGGAGCCACTCTCCTCTTCCAACTGCACAGAGCAGGGCTCTAGCGCTGGGGCTGGCGGTGGTCCCGCCCAACCCGGGAGGGGGTGTGAGACTACGGAGGCTCCACAACACCCCACAGGCCATGCTGCTCCTGAATGTCAGCCTGGCAGTTCATTAGAGATGGAGAACTGGGGCGCTGGGGAGAGGGGTGGCGTGACGGCAGCCACTGCTGCTGACTCTGTAGAGTGGGGGGAATATACCCTCGTACCTCGGTCCCTACGAGATGGTGTGTCAACGTGACTAACACATTCTAAGCACACAGTAGGCCTTCAGTAAACACAAGGCCCTGCCCCCCTCTACCCCCATGGCTATGCCTGAGGAGCTCCTGGAGCTGGGAGGGGGAGGGAGAAAGAGAAGGATGGTCGCAAATATTTTAAACAAGACTTCATCCCCTCACCAAAGGCCCTTACACTCTTGCCTCCCCAAACACAGGTCATCCAGGGAGTTGGGGTGCAGCACTCTCTCTGGGAGGGGTGTTCCTGTGAGCTGAGGGAGGGAAGGGCTGCTTGGTGAGATCAAGGTGTGGGTGTGCTGGCCTCTTTTCTGGACCTGTGTGTCGGCGCCCGTTGGCCCCGCAGGACTGCGATGGCTCTCACCAGGCACGCCTTCTCTCTCCGGGAAACTCAGGGCCCTGCCGGCCTCAGAGCAGGGGCCTGGGGGAGCTATCCTGGCGCAGATCTGCATGCTCACGGGGGGGAACGGCACCCCAGCTCTGACTCCAGCCTTCAGGGCGCCCCTTGGGGAACCTGCCATGCCTGGGCCTCAGTTTCCTGTCACCGTGTCTCATCTCCCAGGCCGTTGGCATGAACAAAGAGGTCCCAGTCCCCAAAAGTTCTGGGCTGCTCTGTCCCTCTGCAGCTTGGACCAGCCCGGTCCTGGGTAGCGCTCACAAGATGATGCCCAGCACCGGAGCCACAGTTCCACCTGCCTCTGCCTCGTCAGCACAGGAGGTGGGGCAGGAAGTCAGCTCTCCAGGGTCTCCCCCAGTGACAAGGCCCGGCACCCCATCCCCATCTGCACAGGCTGGGGCACCTCAGGAAAGTGAAGGGACCCAGGAGGGGCAGGCATCTAACAGGCCAACACCCCTTCCACTGCCACCTCCCTCAGCCCTTGGCAGGAAGAGCTCTCTCTCTCTCTTTCTCTCTCTCTCTCTCTCTCTCTCTCTGAGACCTGTCGGTCTGACTTCTGTCCCTGCAAAGAGCTTGGCCTCACCATCACCTTTTATTTATCTGCATGAGTCCCGGGAAGCTGGAGGGCAGCGAAGATGACCACACCACCGTTTCTTTTGTCTTTGATGCAGCCTGGGGTTGCTAGAAAAGCTGGTCTCCCTCCTAAAGAATTTTTCTCAGCCACCCCAAGGCCCTCTGGGTGGAGGAGCTAAGCCAGCCAGGGTCCCCACCAGCCCCAGAGGCAGAGAGGCAGGGAGGCAATGTACTCTGAGGGTGTGCAGTTTCTGCACAGATGAGGGCTGAGCTGGGGATAGCAGAGACCTGTGTATGGGAGAGAGAATACCATTCACCCAGGACTGACCCGGCTCAGCCAGAGCTGAGCTTGTCACACTGGGACTGGATCCAGTGGGGAGGCAGGAGGTGACCTTACTTCGCCCTGGTTTTAGCATCTCATGGGTGGGGCGGGAAGAGGGTCCCCAGGACCCGGGAAGAGCAGGTGTGGAAGTGGGTGTGGGGTCTTCCTGTTGGAGCATCATGTCACAGCCTCAGGGGGCGGGGGCCGGGGGGCGGGGAGGGCTGTGGCTGTCGAAGGAAAACTGTCAGCATCTGCACTGCATTTCTAGGCTTTGCTTTCTGTTCTCCCTCAGTATCGGGGACGTTCTTCCTGAGGATCCCCTGCTCGATTCAGACAGCGAGGCGGGACCGGAGCGGGGGACTGTGCTCGCTCCGGGAGCAGAGCGAGGCCCCGTGGTCAGGGAGCCTGACACAGGACAAGTGAGGTTCAGGGCAGAGCACCCCTCGACTTGGAGCTTTACCTTTTCAGTGGCTCCAGCGTTTCAGGCTCTGCGATTGGGTCCAATCGGGAGGAGTTTTACACTCTCGGGACTTTTCTCCCAGGGCTCCTCTCCCTGGGAAGGCCTCCAGGCCACGCAGGCTCCTGCTGCAGCACCCTGGTGGGGCCAACTCCCCGCCTTCTCTACGCCCCCAGTCCCCTCGGTCCCTGCCCAAAGCCCCACCATCTACCACTGCCCGCATCCAGCAGCGGCCTCACCTCATTCTCTTTACTCCCAGGCCCTGCAGGAAGGAGCCAGGCCATGGGGACACTCCTCTCCCGTGAGAAGGCCTTGGGGTGGACAGATCAGAGGCCTGGGCCTTCTGGGAGCAGAGGTACCCCTAACTGCCCACTGTGATGCATCTCCGGAGGCCAGAGCAAGGCCCCCAAACCTAGGCAGAGGCGAGAGGAGGGCTGCTCAGCACCCGTGGGGGTCACGCTGAACTCCCGGTCCAGAGGGGTCAAGGTTTGTAGTTCTTTGATGTCCTTTCAGGAGCTGGGAGGGAGCAGAGAGTCCAACTCTCTCACCTTCCTGTGGTCTTTGGGAGCTTCCTGTCTGTCCCTGGCAGGGCCAGTCCCCGCCTGGGCTGGCAGTGAGCACTCAGAAGTGGAGGGTTCCGGTCAGGTGGGAACCGCAGGAGCCGTGGTCTTGAGCACTTGGTGGGTCTGAAGGGTGGGCACCAGGGAGGGGGACTTTCTGGGAGTTTCTAGATGAGCTATGCTGGCTCCGCGGGTCTGGCAGATGGGATTTGGACCCTGTCCTTGTGGGGGGCAGTTGGAGGGGGACAGGATGGGCCATTAGTGAACATGCAGCTGGAGCCTCCGGTGCAAGCAGCAGGTGAGAACCATTCCGCAGGTCTGCCAGGTGGAGAGAGCAGAGATCAGGACCCCATCGTGGTACGGCCGGCTGGCAGTGCTCAGAGCGCGGCTTCCCACATGGAGTGCGCAGCTGGCACCTGGATGAAGGGCAGGTTCCCACGTGGGAGGTGGGAGAGGGAGGTACTGAGATTCTGCCATTCTGACAAGCTCCCAGGGAACACGCTCTGAGAACTACTCTGCAAGAGCAGTACGTCTCACACTTTGATGGGAACGAATCACCCAGGGACCGCGATGTGGGTGGGGCCGAGGTTCTGCTCTACTAGCTAATGAGCTCAGCCCTTGCCTGGTCTGCGGCCCAGCGCTTCTCCAGGGGCAGCTGACTGCTACCCGAGCAGCCTGTCTCTGTCTGCATTGCTGCTCTGACCAGAGCAAAACCAGCCACCACAGTGGATTCTGGCTGATGGACAGAAGCCACTGGGGAAACCGCGGCTCTGGGAGGGGCACCCAGAGCTGTCACCAGCTCATCCGTAAGTCAGCGTGGAATGTGGCCCCAAACGAGACCCTAGGAGCCTGCCTGACAGGCCCCCGTCACACCCACTAGCTGAGCAAGAAGGGGCTAGCAGTGGTCGGCAAACTCATTAGTCAACAGAGCCAAATATCAACAGTACAATGATTGAAATTTCTTTTGAGAGCCAAATTTTTTAAACAAACTGTATAGGTAGGTACATTGTTATTAACTTAATTAGGGTACTCCTAAGGCTTAGGAAGAGCCACATTCAAGGGGCCAAAGAGCCACATGTGGCTCACGAGCCACAGTTTGCCGACCACAGGGCTGAGCATTGGCCCAGAGCAGGGCAGTGCTGGGAAGTCACCTTTTCCTGGTCTCACTTTCCTGTCTCCACACTATTGAGGACCCTTATTCCCCTGCCTTCCCTTGCCTCCTTCTTCCTCTCTACCCCTCCTCTCCTCCCTCCCACCCAAGGATACACAGGAAGAAGGTGAGGATATTTGGACCAGGAAGGCCACGACTGTGATCATGCTCCTGACCATGAGGCCCTTGGATCCTGACTCCATCGGTGGGAGAGGGGCACTAGGGCAGCCCATGGCTACCCTGTGGACACGGGCCAAGGTGCACTTCTCCAAATATAGGAGCAAGGCCCCATCTTCCCCAAACTTTCCAACAGCAGCTGCCAACGGGAGGACAGGCAGGTGAGGACTCCCACGGGCCGGTAGGCGCTCGGTCTCTCTTTGCGAGGCTGGCGTAGGAGGTAGTGAAGGATGCCCCTCTTCTTCCCCTTCCTCCCTCCTCTCCATCCTGACGTGGGGGGCTGATGGGGGCCTGTGAACACAGCCCTCAGCTCCAGACTCGGTGCCAGAGCAGAGCTAATCCACCAAGAACTCGGAGCCACAGCTGAAAGGCGGCGTAAGTTAGCAGATGGTTGTCACAGCCATGCCACCCGGTGTCACGCAGCATGCCGTGTCCTGTGGTTATCTGAGTCTTTCTCATCCTTGCTAAGGGGGGAGCTGGAGGGAGCAGGTGGACCAGCAGGGACTTGTGGCTACCTCTCCTACAACTCTTGTCGGGGGAGACGGGAGGGCTGGGTTCCCAGCATGCTCACTCTTGAATGAGATGTGTGTTCCCAGGGTGCCTCCCAGGGAAGGCACAGTGAGGATGGAGTGTGCGGGCCAGAATCTCGCCAATGCATGCACACACAAACACACACACACACACACCCCACCCTGACTCATGCACAAGAGTAATGGACTGAGTGTTCAGATCCCTGAGCGAGCTGTGTCTCCTTCCTGGCAGAGGACATGCAGAGATCAGCACACTCAGCGGCAGACCAGGGTGAGCAGAGAAAACACACAAGTTGACCACGGGAGCGGGAGATGGCAGATGACAGGCTGCTGGGCCCAGCCTGTGTGGGAGATGGCACCCACTTCTGACAGCTGGCCTGGATATAGCACGTGGCACACGTGGGGCTTTTAACAGAGAAGCCCGAATGCTTTCAGCTTCTTTCGAGGTTTCTGAGCCAGCACCTGGCAGTCACCAAGAGCATCAGGGAAGGACCAGGAGGTCCCAGGAAGCCACTTGGTTCCCCTTAATGCCCTGCAGAGTCCAATCTCACTGTCTTGCGAGTTTTCTGGGCTCTGCAGCATGTTCCTATCTTGTCGTGTGGGAATGTGGGGGTGGGAGTAGGAGTGGGCTAACTTCCATTTGGGACCGTGTGGCCTTGGGTAAAGCTACATCCCTCTCTGAGCCTCAAATCCTCCCCTATCAATAGGAAAACCTCTGACTTCAAGCTAGGTTTCTCCAATCCCGACGAGGGAAGCATATGACACCATTTTGGCCTTGTCTATCCTGAGCCTTGAGGGTCTCCCAAGTGCCAGGCTGGGCGTGTGTGGGAAAGGGCCTGGTGACGGCTCCGGAGGCGGGAGGATGACTGTGAACCTGGGAACAGGCCTGGTGAGAGCCCTCCTTCAAGGCCAGCAGCTGACCTGGACTTGGGGAGCTTAGTTCCAGCACTGGCCAGCAGAGGGAGCGGTAACCCAGGCTTGGCTGCTGCAGGGCCAGCCTCAAAGGAATGGAGGGGAGGGACCGCCCAAGGGCTTGGGGTCCATGGAGGTGGCCCGGAGAAGCTCTCTCTGGGGGACTCTAGGAGTAGTTCCACAGTGAGCTGGACCAAGACTTTCATGGTGGGGGTGGAGGGGGCAGGAGGCACCTGTGGGCCTGCAGGCACCCTGCCACCTGGCCTCCTGGGCATCACTCCTGCAGGTGCACTTGGCCACCTTGCCTTTAGGCTCTGAGCACTGGCAGTCCCTCCCTGCCCATGGCTTCACTGACCCGTCTCAGCTTCTCCAGGCTCTCAGGCCAGAGAGGCCAGAAAGAAATGGGCACAGAGCGTGGCCCCGGCCTGGCCAGCGTCCATGCAGAGCAGGTCCCCTCGATACCTGAAGCAAACGGCAGGTTTCCAGAAACCACAGCTGATTCAGGGGCTGCATGCAGAGAGCCTATTCCCCAGACTTCATAGCAACTCCCCCGGGGTTCAGTATGTGGGGCAGAGGCCTGCCTTGGGAAGTACTGAAGGACCAGATGACTGACCCCTGGGACTCCTGGGCCTGCTCCTGAGTGGAGGTGAAGGGGCAGCTGGTCTGTCCAGGGAACAATCAGGGCTTCTGGGAGAAATAATGTGCCACATGTAAATGATAAAAGTAATGATGGGGACCGTGTCCTGAGCACCTGCTACCTGCTCGGCAGTGAGCCATGTGGTTACATGCCAATCCTCACTGGTCACGAACCAGCTATAATTAGCCCACATCACAAATGAGGAGCCAGGGCTCAGAGATGAATAACCAGCCCTCTGTTGTCTGGTCTCCCTCCAGAGGGCCAGGCCCAGCAGGTGAGGCTGCAGCTGGACCCTCCGGCACTCAGACTGACGTGGTCCAGCAGCCGTGACCGGGGAGGAACCCACACGGAGGGTCCCTAGCCTCACACCCATCCTGCTTCTCTTTCCATGGAACTGCGTTGGGAGGGAGTTTGGGAAAGCGAAGGACCACGGAGACCTGGGTGGCAGTTTAGGACGAGACCCTTAGTAAGTCCCCTCCCTGGGTCTCAACTTTCTGGACTGTAAAATGGGGAGGACACTGTTACTCGCCTGGCCTGGCTCTCAGGTTGTGGGGATCAGATAAGAGAAAGTATCTGAGCCACTATGAAGTCCACAGAGTTTCCACATATGGAGGCCCTCGCCTGTGCCAGGTGCTGCTGCCGTCCAAATATCACCTTGTTCTGATCTGGCCCTCACGCAGTTGGGGAAACAATCCATAGTTTGAGGATGACATTGGGGCGCCAGGAAGTAACTGCTCAAGGTCGCCCAGAAGCAGCGGCAGGATTGGATCCAGGTCCTCTGACAGGCAGCCGCTGCTCTCCCCTCTCCCCTGGATGGTGCTTATAGACCGTGCACAGGAAGGTGGGCCGGACTGAGCTCCCTCCAGAACCGGCTGGGCTGAAGCAGGAGTGTCAGGTGAGGTGGGCATGCAGGGCCCTTGCTAGCTGAGCCTGCCCTTGCCCCTGTGGGTGCCAATCCTGACTCCTCTGATCTTGACCTGTGACTAGAATGACTCATGGGAGTAACACTAACTCCCTGGATGGCAGCTGGGGGGTGGGGTGGGTGGGTGGAGTAGTGACCCAGAGCAAAGAGCATGGCTCATGCTCGGAGCAGAGAGCTGGGTGTACACAGGGAGCACATATCCACAGGAGTGCAAACGCGCATAACAGCAGAATGAGAGCACGTCATGCACACACACACACACACATACACACACGTGCACAAGCACACCTAGACACATATACATGCATCCAACCCCCACCATGATGCATGCGGACACACCCAGGGCCCGCAGACACAGCAGGCTGCACACACACCTGCACATGCACACACGGGTGCATGCACATACCTGAGCCCACACTCACACTCCTCTCAGGTATCTGTTCCTTACAAGTTCAAGTTGGCCCCCTGGCCCCAGGCATTTTCCTTCCTGTCTCTGGGGAAGAGAGTGACCGTGTGACTCAACTTCGGCTGCAAAGGGAAGGGGAGAGGAGGGCAGGGTAGAGTGTGTGTGTGCAAAGGGTCAGTGGTCTGAGATCACAGCCCGAGGGAGGGGCGTTCAGAGCTCTTCTATGGCCCCTCCCCTCACTCACCTGCAGGCAGGCCACCCCGATGCCCACTGCTCCCATGAGCAGCAGGTGGCTGGCCAGAAACTGTTCCAGTTTGGTGATGCAGCCTCCCTGTAAGGGAACAGCAGGTCACACTCACCTTGACCCAGAAGTGGGCGAGGATGGGAGGGAAAGGCAGGCTGGGTGCTGCATCCGACTGGCTGAGGGAAGGCCGGAGACTGAAAGGGCCTGGTCCAGCTTTCCAATTGCCCACAGGCTTTTGGGTGACCCAGGGTAGGCCATGATGTCCCGGAATCTCTCAGTAGCAGGTGTGCATCCCCTGCTTTGTGCGGCCCTTTAAAGGCCCAGCACTGCTGCTTTCTGGCCAATAAATAAGTGGGCCCTGCTCCCCCCACCTGTCTGCCCTGAGCTTGCCTTTTGGGGGCCCCTGGATGGCCAGCTGGGCCCTCTGCAGGCCCCAGCCGGAGATAGGTGCTCACCTCCACCTTGTAGATGTTGGAGGGGTGAGCCCTCTGGCCGCAGCGCGCTACCACCGTCTTGCAGCAGCTGTCGGGCACCCGGCGGCCCTCGGCCTCCCGGGACAGGATGTAGGCGCTGTGCTGCCAGTCGGCAGAGCTGTTGCTTCCGCAGCACTTGAACTGCAGAGAGAGGCAGAACCTGGCGGTGAGGAGATGCACAGGCCCCTCCAGCAGCTTGGTTCCAGGGAGCAGGACCATTATTCAAATAGCAACCAGCACCCTTCTTCCCTGGGATTCCTCCCTTCCCCTGTTTGGAGTGGGAGCTGGTCTCATTTCAGGCAAAATTTGCCTGCAGGCCACCTGTTTGCTGCCTTAAACATCACCAAGATCTTCAAGGAGATTATGCTGGTGCCCTGGGGGCAGGGAGTGTGTGAGAAGATGGGTAGGGAGGTAGAGGCAGGTGGGGCCACACCCACCAGAGGTAGTTTTCTGGGCCTGCAGGGAGGCAGAACCCAGGGCCAGGGACCCAGTCCTGCCACAGTTTCCAGGCCCCCATTCAGGCTTTGAGGCCTCAGAACCCTGAGTCCTGCAGGGACACAAAAGGTGTCCCAGAGGCCACGGAGCAGGCAGCTCAGCAGTGACCAGAGGGACTGGTGTGGGCCGACCTGGGCCCTGCATCTGCTGCACCTCCCAGGGCAGGGATGTGCCCGCCCAGATCAGGGTGATTAAGAAACAGGAGATGGTTATTTCTCACCCTTCCGGTTTGGGGACTGAGACATAGAGTTCCTATATGGGCCATGAACATGGCTATTTGAGGTGGTCTCTGGTGTCAGAGGTGTGGGTGGGGCGGGAGGTGCATTTAGTCTACTTAACAAGTGTTTGTTAGGCACCTACTATGTGCCGGGAGTGACACTCGGCACTGGGCACAAACATGGGTTTATCGAACCTTTCATTGCCTGTCGTCCAGTAGGAGTTGATAGAGGTAAGGAACTTGCACGGGCACATAGCTGGAAGGGACAGAGAGGACCCCACCCTGTCCGGGCTTACGTCCTGCTGCAGACGGTCAACGGACGTGGTGATCTCCATGGCTCCAGGCTGCCCATAGTTCTCAGCCAGCGTCCGGGTCATGTGCTGCTTCAGTTCATTGCTCAGCTGGAGGGTGGAGGGGAGGTGGGTCAGCAGAGCGCCCCACCCCAGTCCCCAGGCCTGCGCCTAACCACCAGCTACTCTGCACCACTCTGTTCTTCCAACGGTGCAGTGCGGTGGTTTCCCACACAGTGGAAGGGACCCTCTGCGCACATCAGACAGAGTTATGAGGCGATGTTGCAAAAGCTGGGGCCCTAACATAAGGGTGTGGTGGAGGAGCTGAGAGGCAGGTGCGGGAGGAGACAGCTCCAAGGCCCAGGGCTGCTTTTAAATACCTGTTGAATTTCATTTTGATCATGAGATCCCGTGAGCACCCAGTGCTCCTCCAGGTGCTGGCTGGAAACAACCAGCACGGTCACTGTACCCACCAGCCGAATAGCAGTCTGGTCGTGACCTTGAAGCCTGCTTCAGAGGGCGTGCGGTGGGAGAGGACCCGACCGGCCCCGTCCTTGTCCTCGCAGGCAGACAAGGCTGGTGCTGTTTTCAGAGTCTGGCATGTGGCTCTGGGCCAGGCCTTGCTTTCTCCTTGGATGTGTGACTTCCCCTTAGGAGGGGAGAGGAGCCAGCCACCCCCAGGGAAGCGTCCCCTCCTGGCTCCCATGAAGACATCTGCATCCACAGGTGGAGGGGAGGGTTACTGGGACCGGGGCGAGAAGCAGGACCCAGATGTGCCGAGGAGTGTTGGGGCCTGGGAGGCAGGACCACCCAGTGCGCCGGTGCCTCAGCTTCCCCAGCACCCTGTACCCTCCCCCACGCATGGCCTCCTGGGAGCGCTATGGGCAACGCAGAAGGAAGACCTTCCACTCACCCTCTGGTAGTACACGTGGGCCAGGACCCCCGCCACCAGCTCCACGAGGAAGATCACCAGCAACAGGCAGAAATACTAGGGGCAAGGGGAGAAGACAGTCGGTCACCCTGGGATCGGGCCTGAGGAGTGGATGGTACTTCAGGGCCGCTATGTAAGTGCTTTCCTAAAGTAGTGAGGGAGGTGGGGCACCTGCCAGGGACCCCCACCCCCAGAGCATCTTCCTCTCTTCCCAGCAGCTCTGGGCATCCCCACCTCTGGCTGCTGGCTGCTGGCTGCTGGCACGGAGTTCTGCACTCACCTCTTCACTCACTGGTCTGCTGGCAGCTTGTTAATCCACCCACACATCCAATACTTACTAAATGCCTACTATATGCCAGGCCTCGTCAGTAAGACGGTTATTGCCTTCAAACTTATTGGTGGAAGGGGAATAGATAGTAAGTGATCATAATGATGTGTTTTAAATGCTGTTATGGGGCAAGCCCTGGAAACGATGGGAGAGCAGTCAGAGAAGGCTTCCTGGAGGAGGTGACACCTGAGTGGCACCTCTAAGGGTGAGTGAGCATTTGCCAGGTGAAGAAGGAGGGAAGTGCATGCCAGGCAGAGGGGAGAGCAGAAGCATGGGGTGTTTGAGCTCAGGGACATGGCTGGAGTGCAGGGGCTGCAGCAACCAAGGCTCTGGAAAAGCACAGGCAGGGACCTGGGAAGGGCATTGCAGCGGTTCTAAATTCCCCTCACCACTGCCTGACTGCTCCGGCTGGCTGCTCTGCACGCTTCACAGCCCTGCTGACGCTGCTGGCTGGGTTCCTGGCTGTGCTCTGGGCTGTGACGGGCCTCATCCTGCCCCACCCCCACCTGCTTTTACCACCAGGAAGGCTCGGGACACTGCTGGATCCCGGTACGTTCTTGGAGGAGCCAACAGGTCAGAAATGCATGTCAGGCCCACATGACTGCGAGGGGACAGGGTGAGGGAGATGGTGCAGGTACAGGTAGGGAAGGAGGAAAGACGTGGGGGGAGAGGAGGAAGAAGAGGGGGTGTTGTTGCCTGAAATTGGCCCCTTCTGGGCAAGCACAGCCCCTACTCCCGGGCACTGGTTGGTGATGCTCTTCCTCCCTCCAGGCACTGCCCACCTGTGGGTGAGCTCTGGGATGCCGGGGTTCATCAGGTGTGGCAAGAAAGTGGGCAGGAAGGTCTGAGGGCAAGGAGACAGCTGGCACGGGCTCCCGAGAGTTGACAGGGTGGGATAGCAGGAGGGCAGGGGCTGTCTGGCCATGTCAGAGGCAATTTCAGCCCATGGGCCTGTAGGCCTTGCCCACTGGCTCCCAGAGCCCGGCAGGGGGCTTGGCAAGGGCAGGACTGAAGCAACACAGGGGAGAGCACATTTCACGGACGAAGAACTTTGATCCACGAGCAGCCTTCCTTTCAAGTTAAGTGAATCTGCTGCTTCTCCCTCAGCCTTTGGATTGAGCTTATCGTCTCCCAGCACTGAGTGAGCAGGGAAACCTACAGTCTCAGTACTGGTGCCAGGCCTGCCCGTCACTGTCCTGGTTCCTCCCTTCCTGCCCTGCTCTATGCTGCACCAGGAATGGCCCAGGCCTGCATGTCCCAGCTCTGCCCGTCCTTCCCCAGGTCCAGGCCCGGTCCCCACTGGGTGAGGGTGTGGAGGAGGTAGGTGTGGAGGAGGGTGGGGGCACCCGCCTTGGTGCCCCCTGCAGGCTCTGGACAGAGGCTCAGGCTGACTGCACAGATCCCAAGCTCCTGGCCCCCAGATGAGGTCTCGAGTGGGGAGGGCAGAGGCAGGTTCCAAGTGGGCATGTGCCCTGGGCCCATGGATTCTTCCTGCTACGGGGAGGGCTTTGGACGAAGGGGGCTGTGTGTGCCTGGGTTCTCGGGAGGCACTGAATGCTGTCCATGTGAGCAGGAGGCTGAGAGAGGTCTGTGGCTGGGTCCTCTCTGTTAAGCAGCCTGGGTACCTAACACAGGGCCTGGAAACTGGAGGATGGTGGTGAGTCCAGGCTCTGCCACTTGCTGGCTCTGGACCGGTGACCTCTGACACCTTGGTGTGAATTAGAAAAATGTGCTGCAATGAGAAAAAAGTGGCTCAGTGAGCTGGGCGAGCTGACTTCAGCCTTCCCTGGTTCCTTGTACAAGGTGCAACCTCCAGGGCCATACGCAGGGCCCTGCCTGTGGGGCTGAGCCAGTGGGTGGCCCATCCTGCCCTGCTTACCCCTAGGAGGACCCAGTGGGAAGCGAATTATGCTTTACGATGATCTGGCCTGCTTCTTGCTCCAGAACTCGTAGCGACAGCCTGAGGTGAGCTGCACTTGTTAGCCAGCGGCAGGCACGGTTGCCCAAGCCAGATGGTTGCCCTCCTGGGAGCTGCCCGGCCCACTGGACAGTGTGTGGCTGCACTGACACCCACCAGGAGGGTGTCCCCGCTAATGCATGCACTCCAGGGCCTTGGGGATGTGCCTCACCTGTAGCTCCTCTTGAACATGGTTGCACCTCCCTGCTGGCTCCACATTCATCCCCACTCCCCCTGCCCTGCCTCAGGACTCGGTATAGTACTTGGTACTCGGAAGCCAGCTCCCATCCTGCCACAGGAGCCTCCGTGCGGTGGCTGCTAGTCATCCCCAGGCTCCCGGTGCACCCCTGTGCCTCTGTGGTGTGGGAGGAAGAGATGTCGAGCCTGTGCCTGTCCCTCTGCCCTTTGCCTTACTCGGTCCAGCCTAACTTCTCTCAGAGTCTAGTTACTACCTGCACACGCTGGACAATGCTCCCGTGTGCGCACAGAGCCTGAGCACAGCCCGGCATCTGCTCTCTCCCTGCCACCTGCCTGGGTTCGCTGCCCCAGCTGCATCTGTGCTCCACAGCCGTTAGGTTAGCCACCAACCTCAGCTCCCGCTAGGCCCCCAAAGCCCTCCCTGAGCTGGAAGCTCCTGTCTGTGACCTCACTGCTGATACCCTTGAACCGATCTGACTGGTGGGCCTCATGCTGGTCCGCTCCCGGGACTATGGACACTCTGACCCGTATCTTGTTCTGTCTTCGCAGGCCCTGTGCATGGGTGTGAGCCTACCCCTCCCCCCAGCTCCCACTGTGCTGGGCCTGCCCTGCTCTCAGGGCTGCCCCTGTCCTTCCAGAAGTGGCCGCCTGAGTCTTGGCCGGACAGAAAGCAGGACGAGAATTCCAAGGGAAGCTTCTGCCCCCAGAGCCCTCGATAAGAATGATGCCACTTCAAACGATGCCAAACTGGGCCCCAAACATGGGAGGAGCCAGTTTGGTGAGCACAGAGTGGGACGCAGTCATCTCCCCCCTGTACCATTTACCAAAAGGGGTTTTCCTTTAATTCTGTAATGGAACAGTTTGAATTGGAAGTTGGCTATTTCCTAAAACAAAATCTAGATCCAGAACGAAGCTGGGATGGCACAGCACTCAACCAAACCGGCGTTCCTGAAGGAGAGGCTCTGCAGGAAGCCTGTGGGGATGTTTCTCGCTGACATCACGGGACGAGTCTTCAGAGGGACAGAGGGACAAGGGACCCCCGTCCGCTGCACGGGACAGGCCAAGCTCAGGTGTGGTTCTGTCACTGGGCCTGTGACACAGGGCAGCTCAGCACCAGCTGGCACCACCTTGAGGTAAGTTTCAAGACCTTTATATAACTGGACTTTGGAATTTCCCCATTGGACTGATTCTGCCACAAAGAAAGGAGTTTGCTAAGCGTTCCTCCTCTGTCTCCACTATTCCGCACGGTTAGAGAAGGGCACGAAGCCACCATCAGAAAACCAAGGCAGGGTGTCCAGGCGGGTGGGGGGAGAGGCACAGCGTGGTCTCAGGGCAGTGAGGCAACAGGAAGAGAGGAGGATCGAGATGCTACCAAAGTCAGTGGCGGGGAATGCACAGCTGGAGGCTCCCCGCTTGACTGTGTGAGAGGATTACAGCTGCAGGCGAGGGAGGGCAGGGAGCTCAAAGCCACCCAGGCCAAGCAGGAAGAGCTGGGGCCAGCTGTTTAAGCGGCAATGACCTCAGGGCTCATTATTTTCTGGCAATTAACCACGGGCTGGAGGCAGCCAGGGCTCAGCGGTGCAGCTGCCTGGCCTGTTTGTGCAGAAAAGAGAGGATGTGGATTTGGGAGCCTCAAGCCATTCCTGCAGCAAGATGTCACTGTTGGAAGGATGAAGGTGACCTCCACCCCCTCCAGCCCCAGCCCAGGGCTCATAGCCCAGGCCCTCCAACCCCAGCCATGCTGAAAGCTGGGCTTCAGCCACCCCTCCTGGGGCTGTTCTATGGGAAGACGTTGGGACAGTGATGGCGAACCTTTTGAGCTCGGTGTGTCAGCATTTTGAAAAACCCTGACTTAACTCTGGTGCCGTGTCACATATAGAAATTTTTTGATATTTGCAACCATAGTAAAACAAAGACTTAAATTTTTGATATTTATTTTATATATTTAAATGCCATTTAACAAAGAAAAATCAACCAAAAAAATGAGTTCACGTGTCACCTCTGACACACGTGTCATAGGTTCGCCATCACTGCTTTAGGGAGTGCTCTGGCTAATGGCTGGTGCTAATATCCAGTTCTGGCCTGAAAGGTTGGGAGCAGAGAAGAGGACCAGGCTGGGCAAGGAAGGCTGGTTGACTGAGTGGGGACGTTGGAAGAGGGCAGCGGAGGAGCAAACCAGCCACAGAGAGGCAGGAGCTATTCAAGAGACATCAAGAGAATGCATCCGAGGCGGTCCAAAGTCCCAGCCAAAGGGTTGGGGTGCAAAGATCACACTGTGAGGGTTTAGGAGAGAACACAGTGTCAGAACTGTAAGCCAGAGACAGGTGTCCACTGGATATCACGCCGGGACTGCTAAGAGTCCAGACTGACTGGGCTGAGAGAGCAGGTTCCAGAGTGGACAGCAGGGCCTGGCCAGGTGGCTGAGGGAGGGTCACCAGACTCCCCAGGGGGCGCACAGCCCAGGGGCTCGGAGGATGCTGCTGCCCAGTGGGTGTGGGCATGGGGGGAGTGAGCGATTGCTGTCGCCTATGAGCCCCCTGGAAGGGCCAGAGCAGTGGTTCTCAACCTTCTGGC